TTTTTACATGCTTAGCAATGGAAATGTGGAGCAACCTAGTACATCACATAATGACTCATCTCCTAGTGTATCTAGTTATTTATCTCCTAGACTAGCAAATAAGCATTCTATGCCTGAGAAATCTCCTTCAAAAATAAGTAGCCCTTTCAATAATGTTCAATCTAGTTCAAGCAACGAATCCACTTTGAATTTACCTGTTCTGAAATCCAAGGTTTCAGGTCGAGTTATTAAGAAACCAAAAATACTCGATTTACAGTTTTCATTCAAAGAGGGAAGATGTATAATATAATTTATTTACGACTAATGTATAATGTGCGTATTATATTTGTGATTTTGGCAGTATAATGACATATGTTATTCCTCCAGGGATTAATGACGAGTAGCGGGATTAATGGGCATTATTCCACAAAAGTGTCAGTGTCAAACGTGTAGTGCTTGTGGATTTGTATTGAGAATTTCATACATCTGTCAAAACTGGTATTCCAACAATAAATTGACATGTTTTGATTGTTGATTTGAACCAATCAGATTGTAATTACGCGATAATTTGCACTAGTGCAAATTATCAGATAATTGCATACTAACTGGTGCGAAAACTGGTGTTTTGACATTTTTTGACAAAAAATTTAAATTTTTGATTTATGAAATTCTCTGATTAAATACAACTCGTGCAATGGAAATATATTTATAATTTTCGACAAATTTGCACTCATGCGTTTTTAAATGAAAAAAGGCACTCGTGCACTACGTGCATTCGGGCAAATTTCCCAAAAATTATCAATAAATTCCATTGGACTAGTTATATTACTATTGAAAATTATGAGACGGATGAAATTTGTTCATTGAAAATCTCAAATAAATTAATTTGTCGTAAATAAAGTAGAGTATACTACTCGCAATAATGGCTATTATTCCCTCAGAATGTTACTCCCTCGCCGCTAACGCGGCTCAGTTCGTAATAATCTTCGGGAATAATAGCTATCATTATTGACTCGTGGTATAATCTACTATAAAGTTAGGCCTACGTGCGAATGTTGCGTACCTATTCATATACACCTGATAATACAGGTATAGGTAGGCATGTAGTCATAGTATTGTAAAATTGTCAAGTGATTATCAAATTGTATTGATAGATAAAGATTGATTCAACAAATATAGTCCTATTGATACACTGTTACTTATCAATTGTTCTAGAATTGTTAGTTTTTGCGTGTTTGTTTTGGTTTGAACACTATGGGAACTGACTATCAAGTTTTGTTTTGAATACTGACACTGAAGTAGCACTAACTGTTTCAGCTGGAAGTTGATTCCACAAAATATTGTTTGATAAAAAGTTCTCCCTACACACTGTGGAGTAATTATTGTCTTTTTGAAGTTTGAGCTGTGATCCCGGAATCTCTGGCCTATATTCAAGGCAAAGAGGTGTCTAACTGTTTGGATGTTGTTATGGAGTGTTCAGTAGGTGAAGATAAGATCTTGTTCTTCTATTTTGGAAAGTCAGCAGTATTTGTTTTTCTAGTCTTTCCTCATATCTAGGTCTTCTTCTACAAAGTTGCAATCGTGTTGCTTGTCTCTGTACAGCTTCAAGGCTATTGCGGTCTCTATAATGAGGTCGGGGTGCCAAGCCTGACCTGCATAGTCTAGGATTGGCCTGCAGTATATGTTGTACAGTTTTGTAAACGCTTCTTGGGGGTGTTTGGGAAGACCTTATTTAGGAGAAATAACTTGCGATTGACTTATTTGCATATTGTTGTTACACGTGCTGAGCCAGTTCAAGTCTTTCGTAATCAAAACTCAAAGGTCATTGTGTCGCTGAATACTGACCCATTGATGGTGTATTCGTTTTCTGGGTTATTTTTTCTAAAATGGAGTACCATACATTTTTTCACATTAAGGAGTAGTTGCCAGACTTCACACCACTTCTCAATTTGGTTTAAATATTTCTGAAGCGAGTCAGAATTGTTGGCGGGACCATAAGTTTTTATGTCGTCGGCAAACGCTACACATGGTGATATGATTAAGTTGAGGAGATCTATACTGTAAATTACAAACAACAGAGGGGCATGTGTCGGGCCTTGGGCTACGCCACTTTGTACTGGATAGAGTTCAGAGTTTGAGTCGCCAACCCTGACTTTGTAGTCCCTGTTTGTAAGATAGTCTTTGGTCCAAAATAATCCAGTTTTAGCAGAAGCCTCAGGCTTGGGACTCGGTTTTGAAACACAATTATGTTGTTGAGTTGGAATCAATTTTTCTTGTCCAAGAAAACATCTGAGATTTTCTGCGACCTTACAATTCATAGCAAGATTATTGACCTGTAGTTTCTAGCATCTACTTTATCATCTTTTTTGTATATTGGGGTGAGTGATGCAACTTTCCAATCGGCGGGGAGCCTATTTCGTTTCAGTGACATATTCATTATTTTGCACAACGGAAAAGCAAGTTTGTTTGAGCACTTTTTAAGAACTAATGAGAGCTGGCAACCTTTAGGGTTTTTATCTTTTTTAGGATGTCTTGGGTTGTGATTTGGATAGTTGTGATGTCATTTGGTATCCTGTAGAAGTTTATTTGGAGATCTTCAGTAATTAATGCTTGTGTCATGGATACTTTAGAAAACTCCTTTGTCAAGATGGTGGCTTTCTCAATATTGCTTGTGCACATTTCCCTATTTGGAGTTTTTAAAATAAGGATATCTACTTTGGTGTTTAGTTGTGATCCAATGTACCTGTTGTAGTTTTTTGGAATTCTCAAAGTTTGCTAGGCTGTTATGGCAGCTTAGCTTCTTTGATTTTTTATGTTGGAGTGTTGGAGAAGGTGCGATGTTTCCTGTAGTCAGTGGAATTGTTGGTACGGTTTAAGGTGATCCACTCTTCTGGTTTTATATTCGGTGTTCATGTTCGGCTGCCTAATATTGTCTCTAGTTCTGAGTGAAAGCTGGCACATACGTGATCTATATTGTCATCAGAGAGGACTTCTTCCCAGTTGATTTGCGATATATGATGATTTATATCTCCATGTTTCATGTGTTTCACTCTATGTACCGTTGTTTTTGAAACTGTGTTAACAAGTCCTGCTTGCAGGTTTAATAGTTCGTGGTCTAATTTTCTAATGAGTAATAAGTACTCATGTTTAGTGATAAGGTGTGTGTCATTAACTATGACCAGATCCAAGAATGATGAAGGTTGACTACTGTCTCTGATGTAGACCTAAGTTTGTTAGAGTTTCCCCTAAAAGGGCTGCCCAGGCCATTAATAGACCTAGATCCGTCAGTGGCCATGAAATACTGGAAAATTAAAGTCGCCAACTATAATAAGATTTTGGTGATTGGCAGCAAGGCTTGTTATTGTATTTGTGGAGAGTTTTAGATCATCTTCTAGCAGGAAAGTATTTGGCTGTACACGCACACTAAAACGAATGAGAAGTTCCTGGATGTTATATTCAATGCCAGTGTTCCCACAATCAAAAGGTAGGTAGTTCGGTTGTTGTAAAGTTATTATCGATATTTTGGTTGAGGTAGATGCACACTTCCCCACTTTTGTGTGACAGTGTGTCCAATCTGTGTATAATATACCTACCCTGGAATATCGATAAGGGAGTTTGAGATTGAGTTTTTTTAACCAAGAACCTATGTATAGGTAAATAGTAATAAAGTCGACAAATGACAACACACTGAGCTCGATCTAGCTGCGTGCCTTAAATAAGAACTCTTGGTCAATTAACTGGATTTAGAGAAAACAAGTTAATAAGAATTTACAGACGACACTCTCGCAGATCTTACGCAGAACTATAGCTGTTTACGGAAACTATGATCGGATTAACTCGATCACCGTACGCGTACGAAAATAGATCTAATTTTGGACAACTGTTGTACGAGAAGTGATCGGGCTGTTCGGATCAGTTCATATGTTTGGATCTCACTTACCCGATAAAATGCGGGGTAAATAGGATTGGTAGCCAACAGCTGTTTTTCTTAACCCAACTTTTTAGTTGTCTGTTGATTGTTTTGCCTTTAAAATAAATGTGGCAGACATCTTTAACAACAAGAAGCCAAAAAAATGGAAAATCAAAATATAGTTGGTTGAGATTAGGATTGTTGAGAAGTATCATTTGGCAAGATTCATCTGCGGATCCATCCGTTCAGAAACTAAACTAGCTCCACCTAGATAGTTAACTAATTCTTGGACAGCTGATACTGATCGAACTGATCCTAGATTAGGTTTCCGTGAGCAGCTACTAAGAATGCTAATATTACGGTGGTTGTCCAGCTGAAAATAATAGAGTAGAAGTAATAATTAATCAAGTAGACGAGTGGTGGATTCGATTAAAACAAGACTGCGTTAACAAACATAGGCCATCAGATTGCAATGCAATGTAAATTTAATACTCAGCTTCAAACTACTTAAATGACCAGAATCATAAGCATCTTTTATAAACGAGTTTCCTGAGCCTAAATAAAACATTTCTCATAGCATTATAATATAAGCATTCATCAATAGCTAGCGTTACCTTTGACATTTTCTCAAAACGTATGGATATTGATGATAAAAAAAAAAACAGTTTCGCCGTTAACAAGTCATTTGCATATTTAATCTCTCATGCGCTTCAATTAAAACTGGCCGAAGCAACTGCCGAATTAAAATGCATCGGCTATTTTCAAAATAGTTGCATGTTTTATTATTAAATTCTGCCAGTTTTATGTGAAATAGTCCATAGGGAACCCTTGATGAATTTTTAATGTATAGTTTAGTCTAATTTATCTAAAAATACCATTTTCACAAACAGTTGATTGATTGTAGGCAAACATCCTAGTTTGCTTTTTATCGAACGTCGTCCAATTATGTCCGCTTTTTAGCTTTCGATCAATTTCAGATTTACTCAAAGAAGATTTATTACAATCGGTATAATTTACATGTGACCCAAATTACATTTTCGATAAGAAAACTTAGAGTATTTTGGCGAAATTGGGTCACGCGCTATTATTATATTTTAAATTTGTTTTCTAGGGGAGGATAAAGACCGTCGACACGACGATCGGTGGGCTGGCCGAGCCCCATCAGCGAGATGGGGCCCCATGGGGCCAAGTCCTGGACGTACAGGGCTGGCCCAGGGCCATGGCCCGGCTACAACCTGATACTTCTACCGATTGTGATAATAATGGGACTGCTCAGTACGACTACGATGGTACAAGCCGGGTAAGTACTTCTGCCATACAAATCATATTTTTTAAATAGGGAAAGATTTTCCTCGGGTTTTTAATCGAAGCTCCAAACAAAATGTTAATAACTCTTACGTTGCTCTACAAGACAATGGCGAGTACCTGGATTCTCAATAATTAGATGCTGCGCTAATTGTATACCGGTTTCGAGCTCATTAGCTGTCATCAATGCAATATAAGCGAAAGCATACCAACTCAGAGAGACAGGTTTTTCGACGGAACTGATTCTCAAACAGGAAGTAGTTTGGAAACAGCTTTTGGAGATTGAAGTTTATTAGGCCGAGCAAATGTATGGGATATGTTGTTATTAACCCGTTTAGAAGTAAGTGAATATATAAACAAGATTGTTAAACTGCTCATTAAAGGCCAAGAAATTGAATAAAATTACATACTGGGCAAACGACAAACCACAGATCCAAATATCAAAGACGCTCCAATTGTACAAGCGATCCGATGAAAAATGCGAATGGTGTGGAATTTCATTATATATTTGTACCAAAGAAAGTTATCTCAAAGCTACTGGAAATATTATTAGCTCGTTACCAGGACCAGGCGCAGGTAACATTCATACCCTCTGGGACTGATTGGCAACTAGAAAATCCGATAATAAACGAGGAAAAAAAATAGGTTGGGCAATTTCAGGCTTTTCCGCCTTCAAAGCAGCTTTACTTCAGTGGAGCTGGAGCTACTCCTGCCGCACCTGGTAGGGATGTTCAGGGCATCTCTGGCGCTGAGATACATACCCAAGACTTGGAGAGAAGTTAGAGTGGTGTTCCTACCCAAACCAGGGAGGATGGACTAAACCACCTCCAAAGCATATCGTCCCGTAAGCCTCTCATCTTTTTCTCCAAAAACAATGGAGAGGCTATGCGAAAGGTACATAAGGAACGAAGTGTTGTGAACCAATCAACTCCACCCTAATCAACATGTATACAACCCTGGGAGATCAACAGACACGGCCCTCCACTTAAGTGCTGGGCGAGTGAAAAAATCGTTGGATAATAGAGAGTCCACCCTCGGGGTTTTTATCGACATTGAAGGGGCCTTTGACAAAACCACCTCTCGAAAAATCATCTACTCGCTAACAGAAAAGAATACTCCGGAAACTGTTACCGGATGGATATTCAATATGCTTTCCAAAAAAATCGTACAGGTAAGTGTTCACGACGTCAACATTAAAGGAATGGTTACGAGAGGCTGCTCGCAGAAAGGCGTGCTATGAACTTTTGTGTGGATTATAATTTTGGACAGCCTCATTGTCCGCTTAAACAATGACAATCCCTACACATAGCTCTCAGAAGCTCGATCCTCGGGCCAGGCAGAAGAGCTCCCCGATAGAACGGATGTTTTGTGTTTGTCAACGTAATCGAAAAGTAAATGAGAATGATAAAGACGAAAAATTTACTCTCTCGAGGAGCCCTACTCCCTGGCTCGAGGATGGGCCCGCACAGGTGAATTCTAGAACTGGCTCTACGACCGTATGCAAACTGCTCTTCGAATTATCAATTTATTTATTTGATTCACTCAACAAACACCTGAGAAAGGTAATTACATGTAAAGGTTCGCAGATAATCAAAGGCTCAATAACAACAATAGGTCTTAATATGAACATTATTTTAAAAATACAAAACAAAATATAAAATAGATAAAAATAAAATCCGATAAAATCGGACAGACAACAATAAAACAGTTAACATAGGCAATAAATAGATATGACGGTTAGGGCATAAAACTACGACTTCAAAGTAGGTACTTAAAGGGGGTGTGGCCCTGAAAAACGACTTAAGCTACTTAAATCAAGAAAACATTCTAAGTTTTCTCGTGAAAACCGCAGTGCTATATTCAAAATAGTTTCCGAAAAAATTCCTTTTGAAGAAAAAGATAAATTATGCAGGAACTTGTGATGTCACAACCGCCGAAATCGCAGTGTTCTGTTCGTTCAGTCGTCAGTGAACCGTACCCTATACTTTGAGTAGCTGCAATTCGCTCTAGGAGATTTTATTTTGGAAAATTCTTACACGTGTTAATACTGTCCCTGATAATCCCGTGTGACGTCACAAACACCTAGTTGTAACTTTAAACCGCCTAAACTCGAAAACGGACCATCGTAGCAAGATGCGGTTTAAATATTTATTCTTAGGTTTGCACTAAAACTTACATTATTGGGTCACACCCCCTCTAGTGATAATAAAAGCAAAAGCAATGACAATAAAAAGACATAATTTCTACAGGCTAATTCTTGATGCAGCCTAAAAGTTTTCTTAACTGATCGATGCTACATGCACATTGAAAATATCCAGATTTGCTATGCTTATCAGCACCTCGTTGCACACTGAAAGCATTTGGTTTATTGGTGAATGGCTAGATTTATCAGCTCTTGTATTACTGATTGTTTAAAATATAGTAAATAAACATGACAGCCTCTGTTTTCCTTCGAGTAGATAGGCTAACCATGGCCCGGATTCCGAACCCACGATTCGATAGTATCGTCCATATATAAAATAGATAGGCCCATATTGTATGAGACCATGAATGGATAAACATTATTTTTCTTAACGTAAAGATATCGTAAGAAACAGTTTTTGAACTGTCTCTATTTCATTGGTGCTTACTGCAGTTGTTGGATTTTAAAGATTACTAGCATATTCCAAATGTGGTCTCACCAGAGAATTATACAAGATTATAATAGTTTCATTAAGAACATTTTTTGTGTTACGTATAACTAAGCCTAGAGCATTGTAAGCTTTATTAATAATACACATGTAATGAATATTAAATCTGAAAGCATTCTGAAAAATAACGCCTAGGTCCTTATTTTTTTTTGTTTCTAGCCAATTTAACATCGCTCACAAAGTAATCTTCAACAATACAATTACCCTTCCGGGTATATATGACTATCGAGCACTTTTTTCATATCACTGGCATTCCGTTATCTTAAACCATTTCATCTATATCCGCATCTAAATAAAACTGCAAGTCAACACAATCTTTTGCACAAGAAACCGTTTTAAAAAGCTTAAAATCATCAGCATATAGCAAACTATAGGATGACATGAAGCATCCAGGTAGATCATTTATAAATATTATAAAAAGCAGGGAGCCCAAGTTGCTTCCTTGGGGAACTCCCGACGTAGAAGCAAATTGACCAGAAAAAAGCATGTCCAACCTTGACAGACTGTTGGCGTTGTGACAAATATGACCTTAAAAAGCTACTGGCTTTAGAAAAGAGACCAAAATTAGCTGCTGAGCAATATGCCATGGTCTATCTTGTCAAATGTCTTTGCACAGTCAGTGTATATAACATCCAGTTCTTTTTTATTATTAGTGATGGCTTCAGACACACATTTCGAGATACAAAATAGGTTGGTAACTGTAAATCCGTGTTGAAGTTGCGATATAATATTATTAATATGACACAAAAGGTCACTGTACAGAGTTTTTCAAATATCTTACTTAGAATATTCAGTAAACTTATTGGCCAGTGATTCCTTATATCCTCCCTGTTGCCATTCTTGAAAATAGGTGAAATAACTGCCATTTTAAGAATATCAGGAAAGCAGCCCTGTTTCGATGCTAAATTGAATATGAATTTTAATGGGTGTAAGAAAAATTCGGCGCATCCCTTGTAAATACAGGATGGTATGCCATTAGGCCCAGTTGATCTTTTTGATTTTAAAGATTTGATACTGTCAAGAATGTCATGATCCGAAATGCAGGAAAAGTTAAAAAGTGTGTGTGTGGTCAGCTTGGGTTTGGCAATTGGAAATTTGGTTGTTGCCTTCCGCAAAAACAGATTGAAAATACTGTGGAAAACCATTTGCTATACCCATAGAGTCAGCGAACCTGTCATTGTCAAGCATCATTTCCCGTGGTATCCCACCACGGCCCGACTTACCACGCACAAAAGACCAGAAAGTGTTTGGATCAAGCTTCAAACTTTCTTCAACCCTTTTATTGTGTTCAAGATACTCTTCCTTGGTTTGGGTCTTAATTTTCTTCCTTAAAGTTTTAAATTCGTTTCACTCTGAAACACCGGCTCCGCCTCTCATAATCAGAGTGTACAAAAGACTTTTCCCCCTGACTTTACGAAACAAGTCCGTGGAGTACCAAGTAGGATACCAAGTGCGTCTGTTCTCCCTTATTTCATATTTAGGAATGGATAAGTCTAAGCATTCATACAGCTGTTTGTAGAACTTATCCACTCGCACGTCAGCACTTGGGTCCATTCACAATCCCTGAGCAACTCGTATAACAACCGAAAAATAGCCCTTAGAATAGTCATATTTAAACTTTTTGTGTATCTAATTTGTGTTAATATCTGATTTTCCAAGACATCCCGACAATGAGAGCTGAATGATAAGCATCTCCGAGCAATAGAGGACTGTTCGACGAGCCAATACACGACAAGCGTCACATATTTGACAATATAGACCCTGAGATAGGGCCTGTTTAGTGGAGTCATTTTTTTTTGTCTGGCATTTTGAGGGATGAATGTGGCTAGTTAGCTGATGAGAATATAGGTGGTTTTAATGCCTGCCACCTGTTCGAAATGTCCACAGAATGTTTCGCCGGAAAACTCGACTTCGAACTGGGATTACCGTCTGGCGATTTTTCAGCGATATTTTCACAACAAAACCTTCCATTCTCTCGATTACCAGACAAAAAGTAAACGCGGAAGGTTCTTTTCTCTTGGAAGTTGACACTCATCCCCACTTTTTCAGCTATTGAACAGCATCTGGTATTTTTCATGGGTGAATTATTAATCAATGTCAATCTTTTATTTAGAAGCCAAAAAATTTGAGATCATTAAAAATCCTCATGTAAATGAATTTTTTTCTTCTGCAAATTTTCGAACGGGAGGCAGGCATTAAAATCACCCATATTCTCATCAGCTTAGTAGCCACATTCAGCCCTCAAAATGCCAGACAAAAAAAAATGACTCCACCAAACAGCCCCTATCTCACAGTCTAATACCAA